ACATATCCGTTATATGAATATAAATTAGTATAAAAATGGATTTGGGAAACAATCATTGTCATATTTAGAGAAAATAGTTGATTTTTCTTATTGTCATTTTAAATTGCTGTCAATTTGAATTTTTGGGACTCGCTTCCGACAGAAAACTTTGAGTACTTTGCAAAGGCTTTTTCACCCGTAAATTTCTGAAGGTCCACTCTCAGTTCGTGTTCTTTCCTTTTAGTGAGTAAATGTATGGCTTCATTTCCTAGAAAACGAAAATTTACACTAATATATCTTACAGGTGTATAGCAATCAGACAAAACAATACGGAACAACATGAAGAAATTGATGCTTCTAAATATCTTCTTTGTGCAATCAATCATATCCTTCATACAAATTCTGCAATTTCAACAGTTTACCTTAAGGACAGACGAGACGTTTCTTAATAATAGATAAATTTTTCTAGGAGTTTGTCATTGAAGTATTGCTACTAAAACATGTTTACTCACAAAAAATTTGGGTACCTTACCAGGCATTTCTTCAAGATACCAGGGGTAGTTTTTCTTATATAATCCTTTGGGGGTGAACTGGATGGTAACGTCCCGAGTATCTGCTAAATCTACATTAACAAGATGTGGTGGATAACGAAGACAGTTCATTATATTTTGTATTTTCCAAAGCGCCAAGACTCTAGTATTTCCAATAAAACAAGAAACATATATTGACGCAAGCGTCAAAAATCGGCCGCAAACCAATTAATTGTTGCCTGACGTCACGGCGTCAGGCTGTATAAGGATTGATTATTGCTTGATCCGAAACTAATAGATCATACCCAGAGAGCTAGATTTTGTGCAAGCTGATTTACATTGGAAATCTTTTACCTGTATTTTAAAAGAAACTTTTTTTCAGGGAAACAATGATTTTACTGATGCAAAATAACGCAGTATTTACTTTGTTTACTCTGTTCGCATGAAACAGATTATTTCATGTGATTTCCGTTTCAACGTGTCCGTACATTTTTTTCTGCATTTCTATACTACTGGATCAGTCCATTTATATTCTACAAAAGGGGTGAATCGCTCTTTTCGCGCCAAATTTCACTAGTAAGCGATCTTCGCGTCTGTTCTTGGATTGTTCTACTGTATGAATTTATATTCTACAAAAGGGGTGAATCGCTCTTTTCGCGCCAAATTTCACCAGTAAGCGATCTTCGCGCCTTTTCTTGGATTGTTCTATTGTATGAATGGGGGTGCTAACGTCCATGGAATTAAATTAAGTTTGTTATTGTAACTTCCATCTTCTTATGATTCAGAAATTCTGTCTACAAATTTTATTTATCCTGAAATTCTATTATACAGGTGTTGTTGAAAAAACTTAAAATTGCTTGATTATATTTTTCTTATTCTTTTCAGTTATTGGCTCTGGATTAGATTCATGTTTTCCTGGCATATTTTCAAACCTTTCATTCACCGGTCACATGAACTCCAAATGATGACGAATATTTCTGTACTTCTTCAGGATAGATCCTGCATGATTCTCTGATATACCAGTGCGCTTTAGTATCCTCGATACATAGCAGACAGTAAATATTGCAACATTCCAGTGCTTTTCTTTCCTAGAGCTCGATCCCCCTCCTCCGATCGCCTCCTATTCCTCATAGAATCCCTCCTTTTCCTCATTGACTGCTTTCTTATTCTTCATCGACCGCCCCCTTTTCTTCCTCGACCGCCTCCTATTTCTCATGGTCTGTGTTCCTATTCCACATCGACCTCCTCCTCATAGTGTACGCCAGCTATGCTAGTGATATTTTTATCAATTTCCCTAATCTGAAGTTAATATAAACATAATGCATACAGGATTTAAAAATTCTTGGTTTTTCGGAAATAGTCGTTTTCTATTTAAAGGCAGTGGAATAGCTTCAAATGGGATGCATCATTTTTTTTTTAAAGGTACTTGAACACAGATTTGAACTTATCATTTTCTCTATAATATTATGACGTATATATTTTAATAGCATTTCACACAAAAATTAATAAAAAATCATATTTCATATAAAAGATATTAAAATTTCAAATTTTTTGGAGGTTTTGATTGACACATCCTTGTATTTTCACAAATTAATATTATTCTTAATCCTATGGAAAAGTGGCAATCTCGTTGTGTATAAATGAAAACTATTAATACTATAATCCAGAAAATTCAGAGTAGACATGTTCGAAAGGAAAACAAACACACAATATCTTGTCAGTCCGTGCAGTTGTGGTAAGCAGACTGTGACGATTGAACGCACCTGGTGATTTGTAAACATCAACAAAAACAAAACTCGTGCCCTGTTTACAAAAACTGTACATAACACGAGTTTGCTCGATTTGCTAAACTCTGTACGCAACTCTTAGTTCGGAATGACGATAAAGGATTTTGCTTTCTAACTTTCTACTCTGAATAAAATTATTTTTCTGGATAAAAGTTGTAATATTTCACAGTAATACACAACAGGATTGCCACTTTTCCCAAGGATTAGTAAAAGGTTTAATTTTGTGAAATGCAAGGATGTGTTGATCAAACCCGCCAAAAAATTTGAAATTTTAATAACTTTTAAATGAAAAAGATTTTTAATTAATTTTTGTGTGAAATGCTATAAAAATATGCAAGTCGTAATATTATAGAAAAAATATTGACTTCAAATCTGTGTCCAAGTACCTTTAAGATCAAAAACTAATAAGCATACCAAAAATATTAGACATCTTTAATTAGTTTTTGTCTTAGATTTAAAACAAAACTGTTTGACAATGAAATGGTGACCGTTTGCTTTCTTTAAATGTATCATGTAATACTAGTGCTACTTGAATTAAAGCTAAATACTTTATGTTTAAACTTGGTCTATCTAATGTGTACTACTTTTATTTCCACACACAAATAGAAGCTGTGTACTGTTTGAGTACTTGTCATATCTTAAAATGAAATAGGCCAATATAACGAACATTGTTCAATTTTAAAAAAAAAATCATAATAATACAAATATGTACAGTGGGCATTAAACACTGTCCACTAGAAATTTCAGAAGACGGATCAGGTGCCTAGGAGGAGTAAGCATTCTCTGTTGACAGGTCACATCCGCAGTGAGACCTATGTATAGATCAGGAAATCGAAGCATTCTGTAGTTAAACTCAGAACAAGAACTGAGGCCTCACAATTGGTATGAAAAAAGTCAGCCAAAATACAACCAATGATAAATTATTTGCTTACTATGTTATTCTACGACCACGAATTTTAAGAAATGCTTACTCTAAACGTGACTGGAATTTCCTGTTACATCAACTTATCAGTCAGTAAGAAGCCTCCTTCTTTAAAAAAATTGTTCATATTCAGTGCAAACTCTTGAGTGGCAAATAAGAATTACTTTAAATAACTATCTATTATTATTGTTATATAGTCAATACTTTTATACTTTTATTAAGTATGAAACTTTGCCCTAGAACGTTTGAGATTTATGGCATTCACATTTGAATCAAGGTTGTACATTTTTAAAATTGTATTTGAATATATTTACATTTCCAATGTCTTTGTCCGAGATAAAATTACCAATTGTAAATGTAATTGATTTCCTCATGAATGTTTTGGCGCGGTTCCAAAAAAAAACAACGTGCAGGGCGGGACAACACCTGGAGAGAAGCAGGCTTGGAGCCCGTGGATTGGCGGAATCAAAGCATGTAAATATAAGGAATAACTGTCAGATTTTTCGAATTCATGAAGATGATCAATGGATTGGCTTGTGTGATAATTTTATGCATAAACGCCTTCGGCGTTTATGCAAATTATCACACAAGCCAATCCATTGATCACTTCATGAATTCGAAAAATAAGACAGTTATTCCTTAAATACAATTAAATCATTTTTGACAAAATTGCAAGAATCAAATTAAAATTCCTACTAAAATAAACTGTTTTACTGCAATTAAATGTTTGAAAATATGGTAAGCTACACTTAACAATTTATGACCTATAGTTCATTATTACAGTATTTACTACTGTGGACGTCTGTAATTTCACTTGTCTAAAATTCACGGTTTGTAAGAAAGTAAATTTTGCTTGGGAAGCTGATATTGTTATTAATATTATATCATTATTAGACGACTTATTTTGTATTCGTATCAAGATTTTTTTTCAAAACCTTAAAGATCAACAGAAGAAAACACTTACTTTTGCCTTCAACTCAACATTTAGATATATAGACGACGAATTAAAAAATGTCAACAATTACTTCCATTCAATGTCAATACGATATATCCCAGTTAGATTTTTTAAAAAAGATACCACGGATTCTGGCATGTCTTTCTCATTTTTGGATATTTCACTAGAAAAAGACGTAAATGGTAACCATACAACAAGCATTATGATAAAAGTGATGACTTCAACTTTTCAATTGTCAACTCCCCTTATTTATGAAGCAAAATATCAGGAATGGGAATTGAAGTTAATTAAGAAATGAGTTTAATTTTTGAAGATTCATGAGGTTATGAACCACGACGCTTCACGACAGCATATTTCATGAAGCGCGTTAGCTTCAAGTGCGGTATTATGACGAAACAATTGAGATATTCATGCTTATTCGTGGTACATATGTAATATAGTTCATGAGAAAATGAATTGCATTTTATTTTGTAAAGAATCTTAGGGGAAGTTTATTGGAAATGTAAATAATAGTTATAAACTGTCATGATTTTTATTCAATTTGATGATGATTTCTCAAATCTATATAAAAGTCATAAGGCAACGTGATCTTAATCTTCATACGTATTTTGTAATGAGTAAAATTAAACTTCAAGTTCAATATATACCAAACCCCTTTATGCATTCAAATTTTTTTTTAAATTATTAATTTGTATATATTATTCCATACGGATCCAAACCTTATTGCATATATACCCTAAACGATGGTCAAAATATTGATGAAACAATTACTCAAATTCACAAGAAGAAAGCATGTTAAGTTATTCTTTATTGAAACTTTCGCCATGATTTATTTATTTTACGGGTCTCATCATCATTTTTGCAGTCTTCAAGGAAAAACCTTTACCAAAGTGGTCCCAATTAATACTAACATCCGATTTGACGGCAGATTTGTGATGAGGTCCGTTCAGATTAGAGTGATCACAAGAATTAAACCACCAGCCAGCTTTACCAAGAACAGCACAGGCAATCTTCTTCGAAGAATCGTTGTCTGCATCCTTCGTAGAGAACGGTCTTCCACTATGCCACGCCAAACTATCACCTAAAATACATTCTTTTTTTTAAATTCCCACTTTTGTCTTGTTTTGAGTCATATAATGCTTATGTTTTAGCCAGCTCTATCACATACCTTACTATTCGTATGAAAGTTGTCAATATCAATACATATCCATGTACATTAATATAAATGTGCATAAAAAATCAACGTGTGAAACAATCATTGTCATAATTGGAGAGAATAATTAAATTTTTTTCTTATAGTTAATAACAGCTCACCTGCAGTACCACTGTACCCAGTTGCTGTCAATTTAAATTTTTGGGACTCGCTTCCGACAGAGAACTTTGAATACTTGGCAAAGGCTTTTTCACCCGTAAATTTCTGAAGGTCCACTCTCAGTTCATGTTCTTTCCCTTTAGTGAGTAAGTGAATGGCTTCATTTCCTAAAAAAAGAAAACTTACTCTATTAATATCTCTTACAGATGTATAGCAAACAGACAAACCAATATGAAATAATATGTAGAAATTGACGCAGTTAAAACAAACTAGGCTATATATATTCTTGGTGCAATCATATCCAACATAAAAATTCAACAATTGCAATACTCTACTTCAAAATAAATATATATGTATCAAACCAAATTAAAGAAAAAAAAGAAACATGAAGATAGTACTCTCTCTAACAAAAATTTTCTATAATAAATTGAAGTGCTTATTATAGTTAACTATATTAAATATTTTGACTTACTATGATGCCTTACTCTAGAACTTTTTTAAGATTAAGAACGTTAATATTTAACATACCATCAAAATGTTTAAATATGCATATATGTCAGAAATTACTTTTTTATGATTTTAAAACATAAATAATAACTACGATATATCTTAAATTCATAGTAGAACTACTTTAATTATAATAGTGAAAACTTTTATTTACTACTGTGGTTTCATCAGTATTGGTTGAGCACCAATTTTCGAGGATTTCTTTGTTGGGCATCCACGGATCCACGGATCCACGAATTTAAATGTTCATTGAATTCAGAAATAAGTTATTAATTTGTATAGGCGATGCAATTGTCCACGAAATTAAGTATCCTTGAAAACTTCTGTTTTATAAAATCCACGAAAATTTATGAAACCACAGTATATAATAGTTAATTATGGTTTACAATAAAAAAATTTGTTAGGACTAGCTCAAAATGTCGATCAATTACAAGAATTATATATGCTCTAAAAAAATAAATCGAACCATAAATTTCATATTTGTGAATATATTCTTTAATTATTTAAGTAATAAAGATGAGAAAACAAGAAAACAAAAAATGAATAAGCATTTTGTTTTTTAAAGAGGCTGGGGGGTGGCAGCCATTTTCAGACTATTTCGATCTCCTTTAAAAGAAGAGCTCCATATAAAGATATACAAAAATGATCAAATTTTAAAACTAAAATGTATGATTTTTTCTTTGCTAAATGATAGTTGACAGCTTAAGATACCGTATCTAAAAAAATAAGTTAAATCTGGTGGTTAATTTGTGATTAATTTGTTGACCCTCCAGCCTCCTTAAAACAATACTGTAAACGTGGAAATTTTGACGATGTGCTAATTTTGACTATATTGACGATTCTTCTTTTCTCGTCAAAATTTACACTCGTCAAACTTCTTATCATATACATAGAGACACAACAGACATTGACCATTGTACAACTTTACCGCTAAATCTTCACGGCTTTTTTGTTTGACAACGAGATAAAAGTCACTGTTAATTTCTTTTGTAATTAGTTATGAAAACATAGTGATATATAATCACATTTTTAAAAACCATTGAATTTAAATTAGTGTATCAAATACTGCAAGCGTAACTTAGCGTAATTATCACGCCGGGCATGACCTAGATTGTCACCTCAGGCAATTGACCGCTTATAATGAAATCAAATTACAAGAGGGCAATTTATTTAATCAAATCTTACACACATAGATAGTTTGTACAAAAATTTTTAGTGATTCCGACGCTGTCTTCGTATCCCCGTGAATTCAAAGATTTAAAACTCTTGATTAAATATTTCGTCAAAATTAACACTCGTCAATTTTCGTAAACAAAAAATCGTCAATTTTTCAACTCGTCAATTTAACCACGTTTACAGTAAATGAAAGTACAGGTTGTAAAAATTAATGACGTTCAATGAATTTCTGAGTGCACAAATCTCGATTAAACTGATCTAAACCAGGTTGTACTCGAACAGATTAGCCAAGAATTTCATTCATACCTTATAATTTAATTTTAAAATCATTTTGCCCAACCCTACCCCCGGGGTTTCAGGATTTGAACAAACTTGAATCTAAACTAATTGAGGATACATTATTAAGACTTGTTTTAAAGTTTGCAAAATAATCCATACCCAATTTTCACTATCATTTATCTCAGTTTGACTTCAGTATACATGCATTCATGTATTTTCTCTGAAATGCCTAATTTTGCAAGTTCAAAATGGGTTTTTAATGGTTAAATGCATGTAACTTAATGGATCTATTAGATTACATAATTAAATTTATCAATGAACTTTATTTGGGGGTATCTATATAATTCATATGATGGACAATCAATTTATATCTTACCTAACCAATATTCTCCCTCCACATTACCAAATCCTTCTTTGTACGAATCCCAGGATCTATAAAAATCTACTGATCCGTCCATCCTCTTATTAATAACCTACATGTATAATGAAAATGTATTATATCAGCTTATACAAAAATCATGGAGTGGGGTTAAAAGATCTACACACAAAAGAGATCCTAATTCAAAGTCGATATTACAATTTTTATTATGAAAATACGGGACAACATATCTTTACCAAAAGAAACTATAATATAATACCTTATATGAATGAATTATATAAACATAACTGTACATTGTACGTCTAGCCAAAATATATACATGTATAAACATAAAATAGTAAATTAGGAAACTTCTTACCGTCCAACCCCCTCCTTCTGTAGTCATGTCACAGTACACCAGTTTCTTTGTCTTCATATCCGGGTATATTGAGTAGACGCCATCTTTCCCTTTTGAGTTGGGTATGAATTTTAGAATCGATGCACAATCTCTTTGCTTTTGGAGTTCTGTTTTCAAAAATTACAAATTACATGTACAATTAGTCTTTAATTCTTTAAACATATTTAAATCTTTCATGAAGTAAATACAAATTCCGTTTAAAAGTACATTGTCACCATTTTTTTTTTAAATTTTCATTTCCAAGGACTGCGGAGATATTTTTATATGAAAATTAATGATGAATGTACTTTTCACAATAGATATATCTTATTTTTGCGCGCTTTGCCATTAAAAACATAATGCACTTACTCTGGTACTTGTTGAAATGTTTTCCTGTTAGTCTATAGTGAGACAGAAGAGAAATGTCCACAGAGACCGGGATGTCCACTTTGACGGATGTGTTCAGGTGTTTCCAGTTCCATGGAGTTAACCTCAGTAGAGACTCAACATTTCCTGATAAACACAGCATTAATATATATCATTTTCTATATATTTCTATATAAAAAGAATTATTTTCAAACATTTGTAAATTTTGAATTTGTACTCAGATAATTTTTTAATTTCAACAAATAAAATTACAACTTCAAAATACCTTGTAGATGGGAATGCGGAGTAATACAACATGTAGTTGTAAAGTGCAGAAAGAAACACAGTACCACAAAATTATTTTTAATTAGAACCATATTTTCTTCTATTCCTGCATGCACATGTACGATTAGGAAGGAGAGTGCATATATATACTTTTTTATTATAATTAAAATGTAACATGATAGTTTTATTACGTGTCAACATATATCGATAATGTCATGTTTAAGATATAAATAAAGATTAAAGGCGGAGCCAATGTTTTGATAGTCCATGCTCCAGTAAGGAAAAACACGTTACCAGAAACCCTCTGCCCCTCTCCCCCACCCTCTTTAAATCCGCCCTTGACAGTTTTTACCTTTCATGACTACCATTTTTCAGTTAGGGATAATAGCTCCACGCACTTTTTAAGCTCACATGGTTTTTTGCACAAATTAAAGAAGTCACAAACTTAGCATTATCGAACTTCAGTACGATGACAAAAGTCTACCAGTATCTCTTGTCAAAATTAAATGTCCTTTAAATTCATTTTCCGAAGTTCTCAAAATCGTTGCTTTTAATGGGATTTTATCAATAAAAGGTATGATATACATCTGTACGATTCTACAATAAGTATCTAAAAATTAAATTTGTCAAGCTCTGTTTGATACTGTTTGGTTCAAATTTTGAAATTGACATCTTAAAGATGAGTATTTTGCTAAATACTTTTCAAATTTTCAAATTGACTTCTTAAAGATGAGCATCCTGCTAAGTACGTTTCAGGTTTACGTATACCATACACGTCTTGGTTTTAGCGCCAAAAAAGGCAAAGCTGCATAAAGAAACCATGCCCAAAGATATGAATTTTTTATTCATCTTTTAAGATAGTAAATTGTTACTATTGTAATAAGAATTCCCTTAAATTGACGGTTTGAAACTTTACAATTTTGCATTGGAACGTATCTTTCATGTTGATTCATCACTGAAAAAAATAAATAGTAAAATTCACTACGAAGACTACCTTTACTAAAATACCCTATCTTAAAAATAATTCAATTTATTTCAAGTTATGCCATGTAATTTTACTGTCCATACAATCATTATCTTAAAAGTACTTTTAGGTATCTATACGACCCATGGCCATCAGTGTATAGAACAGATGAGAAACAATGTTATCATCTTGCGATTTATGTTAATGTACAGGAAATACAGAAGTCAGTGAGATGCATCGTTTCTGTGTCTAAACAAGGCAAAGGGCTGCTTTAAAAAACATATAGAAAGACGGCTGTATTTGACAAGAAACCATGTAAAAGTCGTTTGGGAACTATCATAATCTATCAGCAAAGAGCATATGAAAATCCTACCAATTATTATATGTGAATTATGTCTTAAGGTAGTCGATCCTCAGGTTTATAAAATTAGCAGATAAGTAATCAAAATTACTCATAAAAGTATCTCTGAATCCACAAAGTTATGTAAATTTATCCACAGTATTTCTATAAAGTTAAAGATTAAAGTTAATCAAATTATATAGGGAAAATTGTAAAATCTCCAATATTTTTGCAGAAAAAGCGAATTGGAATATCAGCAATGCATTTTCTAATTGCAAATTGATCAACAAATATATTTTAGGTTAAAAAACGATATGCATCCAGGCATTCAGAAAATTATTATGATTTTTATACTTAGTTGATATTTTTTGTCTTCTATTTCCGTCAAGTATTCTATAATACATAGTGTAAAAGGCGTTTGCTATCACTGCAAGACACCACAAATCACTTCTCATTTCATATCATGCTAATAAGCAATGGTATCTAAGGCTGGATTCAAGAAAATCTTATTTCTCTAAAACTGTATTATTTTTTTCTTTTATATGATACATATTTCAACTTTTATAAAACCCTTTCTTATACTTTCAAAGGCCTTGAATCTTTTAAAGATGAATAAAATGAAAATTGTTGCACGAAAAAATATCATTTTCAAGCTTCATTTTGATGTATTTTAAATTAAATGTTAATTTTTGGAGTTATCCTTCCTGGCTAAGGATCGGATATCCTTAAGTTCGTAAAACAGAATACGATTTAAGTTATAAATTACTTTAACAATATATCTTGCTGGCTCTTTACACAATTTCGTATTTTAACAATGTGACGTTAATTTGTACAATCGATCAAAATTTAGTTTTTTGTACATATTTATTGCTATTGTAATATTCCGGTGAGCTGGAAATAATAGATACCACAGTCTCACACATCTGTTCATCTGTTTCATATCTGGATATTTAACTAGAAAGAGACGTTAATGTAAATCTAGTAACCAGTCTTTATGCTAAACGTGATGAATTTACCTTTTCAATCGTCAGCTTCCATTATTTATGCAGCAATGTACCTTCATCACCTGTATACAGAGTTTATATATCTCGTTGACTCAATACACAACCTCAAACACGTTCTACGTATGAACAATTTCTAGAACAGGTAAGTTACTGACAGATAAATTAATGAAACAAGAATATCTGAAGTCACGTTCAAAGTGAATAATTCTTAAGTTCTATGGTCGATACAATGACCTTGACAGCAAATACAATCTATTATTAAGTCAAATGTCGACGAACGTTTTCATACTAATTGTTGGGTGATTATATTGACATACAGAATTGTGGACGGATTTTCCAGTCATAAGGAGGAGCACAGGGCGTGTATGACCGGTCGGCAGGGGATGCTAACTCCTCCATGGCACCCGATCCCACTTCTGTAAATTTAGAGGCTTGCATTAGCTCTGCTCCAGAATTTGTATTGTTTAACGAATTTTTTCTTTGCTTAGTTATGTTCGTTATCCCCATTTATTTCCCGTAAACTATATTTTTATTTTTTTACAGCAGTAAAATAGCGAACAAGAACACTTTAAGTATTTTCATATTTTTCCAATATATAGAATACATGTACTATAGCAGACATAGCTACCATATGTTTGTGACCCGTCAATAACGTCTGTTGACATCTTTTTTCCTTGTTAACAAGTTTTGAATCTTTGGTAGTGCTCCCTTCCCCAAAGTGCATTGTTGGTGGTACCTCTGGGTAATGATGAACGTCTAGTGTGACAGGGATCGACCTGTGGATCTACTGACGCCGCAAGCTAGCTTAACTGTAGTTGAAAGGGCGTTGGGTTGAATCGTGAGTAATTCTTTCCTTGCCAGTACAAAGCCAATACACTACCAAGACTCCTACGGTGCGCACCCGTGGCAATACATGGATACCAAGAGCATTTACCTCTGGCTGATCTGATCTCGGAGTATCCAGGACACAAGAAATACAGTGTGTAGGCCCATCAGCGTATGTTGTTACTCTTGATCCAATAATTTTAATTGATTTATTTCATAATTGAAACCATGATTAATGAATTTTTCATAGAGTATATTTCTTTTCTAACGAAAGTAAAATTGCTGGCTTTTTGGTCGTATTTTGTATATTTTCATAATTTCGAAGATACTACGTTGGTTTTGAGGAAATAACACTCGATCGAATTATTGGTTGCAACAATTTAAGCTTTCTTATTACGAATTAAAGTGCCATGATTGTGATTTCTCAGACTTGAAGGTCTTTAGGCAATGTAATTTTTGAAATTTATTTCATATTCGTTCAACTTTCGATCAAAAATTATCACATTCCTATAATATACTTATGATTTTTTTTCTATTTTCTCATAAAAACAAACTGATTGTAAATGAACACACACTCACTCACACTATCCACATTCATTGTTGCAATGATTTTGTTTTGTATTTTAGAAATCTTCGTGTTATTTAATACAAAGATAATTAAAATCTGATTTAATTTCCGAATGATAAGGGTCCATCTGTCAGTATTTCTCACATCTTAATAGATGAATACCATAATATAACAATTTGGAGTGCTATTATCTTTGTGTGACTTTTTTATCCTGTGTGCTACTTATGCGACCCATGGTCCCAAACGTCACTACATACCGGTATATAAAAAAGCCCAAAATATTGATTTAAGGACCCTCTCTACACAAGTACAATTTTTTGGACATTGAGAAAAATATATTGCATAAAAGAGTTAATATTGAGCTTATTTATTACATTTTCAATGTATGGTACGTGGCATTTATCCCGGGAAAAATGTTCAAAGATAACACAGTATCAGTAAATAGAAATCACTGTTAATTACTTCAATAGAGAAAATACATGTCATTATTACGTTTAGTTAATTTATCTTGGTCTTTTAAAATGTTGAGAATGATTGAATTGATTACAAATTGAATAATATTGGTTAAAATTCTATTTTTTAAGAATATAGATCTAAGGGCAGATCACTCTAACTGTAGAAAAATACCTTAGAATCAGAACTCTTTAGTGTGCAGTGTAGAGAGGGTTCTTAAGTTAAACAAATGTACATTTAACAAAAAAGAAACATGTTTAATATTTTTATTGATGCTTTAAAACCACATTTTTATTTATTTTTTTGGTCTGATCATCATTTTTGCAAACTTCAAGGAAATAGCTACTTTTTTCCATCGAGGTGCTCCCAATTAACGCTTCGATCTGTTTTGACAGCAGATTTATGGTATTGTCCATTCAGGTCACTTTGGTCGCAAGCTCCATACCACCATCCAGATTTTCTATCAACAGCACAGGAACTCTTATATGAGTCGTTATCAGCATCCTTCGTGGAAAACGGCCTTCCATTATGATATGCTAAACTATCCCCTAAAATATATAATATTTTTGGTACATTTTCTTGCCTCCATTTTTGTCTAAACTAACTTTGCATGATATTTACATGTTTAAAACTTTGGTCATATGGATAAAATTTCAATGATTCAATGATTCAATGCAATCATTCTCATTGATGCAATTAATTATGCTTAATTCCAAAAAAGTTGAACAATCACGGACATACATACGTATATTATAAAAATCTATATTTTTGTAAATACATCACCTGCTGTACCCAGTTGCTGTCAATTTGAATTTTTGGGACTCGCTTCCGACAGAAAACTTAGAGTATTTTGCAAAGGCCTTTTTGCCAGAAAATTTCTGAAGGTCCACTCTCAGTTCATATTGCCTCCTTTTAGTGAGTACGTGAATAGCTTCATTTCCTAGAAAACAAAATATAAACTAGTTAAATAACTCAGAAGTAAAGCAAACAGACACATCATTGAGGAATAACATGTAGACATTGATGCAATAAAAACTCTTTATACAAAATTTCAATGGATTATTTCAAAATCAATATAAAAGAAATATGAGCTGCAACTTTCATGTAGGAAATTTTTATTGCAAAACTGTTATTAACTATTTCAATAACAGGTAAATTTATCAATGAACTTTTTTTAAGGGGGGCTATCCATAAAATACATATGATGGACAATCAATTTATCTCTTACCTAACCAATATTCTCCCTCCACATTACCGAATCCCTCTTTATACGAATCCCAGGATCTATAAAAATCTACTGATCCGTCCATCCTCTTATTGATAACCTGCGTGTGAAAAGAAAATCTATTTAATTAAGCATTTACTAAAATCATGGAGTGGGAAACAAAATAACTGTCTATACACATAAAGTCTTCATTCAAGGTCGATATTACAAATTTAACTTAAAAAATACAGGAAAATAAATTTTAACCAAATGAAAATATAATGTACTTAAAATAAATAAAAAAAAAAATATACAAGGGATGTTCGATATATATTGTGTATTGTACCACAGCGCGATAACGTCTTGCACGATTTCGTCGATATTTATCCGCCTGGATAACTCTATTCAATACCTTGCCAACAGTATAAACACGAGCCTTCAACTACACATTGTTATAAAATAAGCGTCATTTCAATAGAGCCAGTCGTTGACCACGGTTGTAAAAATGGTTGGGAAACGGGTTGAGAATATTGAAGAAATTAGAGCCTATATAAAAGTTCCCACAAAACTCGGTAATTCGGTAAAGCAGATTTTTACTGAATTGAGGGAAGTTTATGGGTCTGATAAGGTATCTTATGAGACAGTTCGTAGGTGGAGACAGAAATTTCTAACTGGCACAGATGCAGCAAAATCGGGTCGACCTGTGACTGTATCAGGCAAGACAAATGTCTCAAAAGTCAAGGAAATAATTGAAAGTGATGGCAGGTACACGATTAGTGATATTGCCAAAGCTGTTGGCATATCGCTATCGCTATATATATATACAAAATCATGAAACTTTTACCGTCCAGCCCCCTCCCTCGGTAGTCGTGTCACAGTACACCAGTTTCTTTGTCTTCATATCTGGGTAAATGGTGTAGACGCCATCTTTCCCTTTTGTGTTGGGTATGAATTTTAGAATTGATGCACAGTCTCTTTGCTTTTCGAGTTCTAATTTCGAAGATTACATATTACATGTACAGTTACTCCTAAATTCTTTAAAATATATTTAAATCCTACCAAGAGTAAATATAAGTTCCTTTTAAAAATATTTTGGCACCATTCATTAATTTTTTTTTCTAAGGAACGCAGAGATATGTTTTACATGAAAATTGAATGATACATGTACTTCTCACAATAGATTTATTTTTGGGGGCGCTCTTTACTTTTAAAAACATTTGTACTTACTCTGGTACTTGTTGAAGTGTTTTCCAGTAAGTCTGTAGTGGGACAGAAGAGAAATATCCACGGAGACTGGTGTGTCCACTTTGACGGATGTGTCCAGGTGTTTCCAGTTCCAGGGAGTTAACTTCAGTAGGGACTCAACATTTCCTGATAAACAAAGCATTGATATATATTATTATCTATATAGAAAGAATTATTTTTTTTACATATATGTAAATTTTGAATTTGTACTCATATATTTTTTAATTACAAAAAAATAGAACTTCAAAATACCTTGTAGATGGGAATGCGGAGTAATACAACATGTAGTTGTACAGTGCAGAAAGAAACACAGTACCACAAAATTATTTTTGATTAAAACCATATTTTCCTTTGTGCCTTCATGCATATGTACGATTACTTACGAGAGTACATGTATATACCTTTGTATTATAATTAAAACGTAACAGGATATTTTGGTCTCGTGTCAACATGTGTCGATAATTTCATTTTAAGATATAAATAATGGTAAAGGTAGCGTCAATTATTAGATAGCCAACGCCCCAGTACGAAAAAGCACTTTAGCACAAACCTTCTGATCCCCCTCTCTTCACCCTCTTTAGATCCGCCCGTGACAGTTTTTTTTTTTTGCACAAATTAAGGTCACATTCTTCTTGTAATACAACTTAACATTATTGAACTTCAGTATGATGAAGTCGTTGCGTTTTAGGATATTGTATCAATAAATATAATGTTGTACATCTGTTTGATTCTATCACAGGTACATGTATGTAAAAATTAAATTTACCGAGCTTTCTTTCATACTGTTTAACTAAAATTTTCAAATGGCTTCTTAAAGATAAGTATTTTTTAAGTACTTTACACTGTTATCATGCACGTTTTGGTTTTGTCGAAATGTAGCGCCAAAAAAAGGACAATGCTTTATAATAAAATCATGCCAAAGATATGAAATTAATGTTTATCTTTCAAGTTCGTAAATTGTTTCTATCCAAACGATGATTCTTTTACATTTACGGTTTGAAACTTTTAAATTTTGCAGTGGAACGTACTGTATCGATCATTCATTATGCAAGATTAACAGAAAAGCAATACACCAAATGAGAAACACTGTTTAACTTGTAATTAAGTAAAAAGCCTCCACACTGTTGATAAAGATTCCTACAGTAACCTCTCCTGTCAATGTATGGATACTATGGACATTTGTCTCATGCTGACTTTGGGGGATCTCAAATATCGAGGACCAAAGAAATAAATTGTGTAGGCCCATCGGCGTATGGATATGTCCAAGCACTCATTAACCTTAGCCAAGCTATGGAAAAATAGCTCTGCTGTCTTGTAGATGACTTGAGAGAGTCAAAGGCTATGGGTGTATACCCAGAAAGAAAATCCAGGGAGAAAGAGCTCGTTAAAATTGGATTGCAATCAACTAGGGGAATGGCAACCCGCTAAGAAAACCCGCAGCCCAACAGGATGGGGGTCTGAAATACGACTAACTACCTCACCAAGTAAAAAATAACTAGCTTCAGGAACTTCTGGAAATGTCACAAATGATAACTGTGTCTACGAGGTGTTACATTTAAGCTAAAATACAAACGTCATATTACATTTTCTATTAAGATTCCTCTAAAACTGAAACAAAAACTTCGTGTTAGAGCAAGTAATTTTCACACAATGTACAAAACATCAAAGAAAGCACAAGTTGCAGATGAATTAAAATGCAGACGCAAGTTGGATATACTCGGAATAAGTGAATGCCAATGGATAAAATCAGGCAAAATTAGAATTACAAGTGGCAATACCATATTGTACTCAGGACAAAATGACAAACATCAAAGTGGAGTTGCAATCAAGATAAGCAAAAACAAGATAAAACACTGATGGAATGGGAACCAATTCATGACAGACTAATAAGAGAAAAATTCAGTTCCATATGCAATGCCATGCACCAGCAAATGGTGCCGAAGAAAAAGTGAAAGATTAACTTAATGAACAGTTTCAGATCGCTGTCTCTTAAGTCCTCGACAAGACAAGCTACTGAAAATGAGAGACCTGAATGCAAAAGTGGGTACTGGCAATACTGACTTTGAAAAATCTTAGGGCAAACATGGTTGTGGAATTAATTAATAATGACTATGGAGGGTGTTTAATTGACTTCTGTCTCAACAACAATCAAACGATATGTGACACATTTCATCAAAATGGTGCAAATTTCTACAAGATGTTCTAAAAAGAGTGTCGTGGAGCAGATGTCAACAGTGACCACTATCTGAAATCGATTATAAAACTAAACTTCGCAGAAATTCCAAAAAGCATGATACTATAAGTAGGCTCAATTTGGAAAAGTTAATACCAGACACAAGAAAAGCTTTTTAATCTGGAATTGAAAAAGATTCAAGGTTCTTGAAGAAAGTCTTGAATTTGTTGAAGATATTCAAGAAAGGTGGGACACAATCAAGAATGTGTATATTGAGACCGACGAAAAACTGCAAGCTACCGAAACAAAAGGAACAAAGAATGGCTAACACCTGATACATGGGGGGATAGGTGAATTGAAAGAACATAAAGCAGAAAATTATCAGTATTACGTCTTTAAGACTACAATAAAGATTACAAGCTTCCCATAAAGTAAAGGGTAAGGATGTCAAGCGAAGTGCTAAGAAGGATACACGAATGTTTGTTGACAGTCTGGCACAAGAATTTGAACGAGCTTCTCCACATGGCGAAATGAGGACCGTTTACAAAAAATACTACGTAGTCACATTAAACCAAAATGCTCTTGTAAAAGATAAAGATGGTCACCCACTGGCAACAAAACACGAACAAGAGAATCGTTAGGTACAATATTTTCAAGATGTACTAAATGGCCCGGAACCTGATGAACCAGCAAGTCCAGACCCCCCCTGTTGAAGACATAGAACTAAACTTCGAACCATCAACCCTCGGAGAAGTCCAAAAGTGCATTTAATCAATAAAGAATGGTAAATACCCAAGAAATACATGGTGAAATGCTGAGAACAGATATTACAACATCATCAACAAGAGGCCGGTGGGCAACATCGCTAACATAAGCATTGTTGCTAGGAAAAAGAGCAATCAGTTCAGTACTGAAAAGTTTAAATCGATTAGTGGTACCAACCTACTCTTAATCGGGAGGGGGGGCTATGATTTGATCAAACTTAAATACTTGAATCTACAATATCTTAGCATGCTTGCATACTTCTTTGACAAATTGGGCCTTTTAATTCTTAAGTTTGAACTTATCGTATGGTCCCATCATAACCTCTGCCCATGGTCATGATCTGAACAAATCTAGATTTACACTACCTACGGATTCCTCCATATAAATTTGACCAATCTTGGATTTATTGATTGGGGAATTGAGAATTTTTTTTTTAAATTCCTATATATTTCTATGTAAAATTTGGTACGCCCATAGTGGTCCCGCCCTTCCCTAGGGGTCGTGATTTGAACATACTTGAATCTACGCTACCTGATGATGCTTCCAAATAAATATGACTGATAAAGACTTTGTTGTTCTTAAGAAGATGTAAACTCGTCCCTTGTGGTCTCGTCCTACCCCCGGGGGTCATGGTTTGAACTAAAATCTACACTACCTTGGGATGTTTCACAAAAAGTTTCTTCTTATCTGGCACAGTGGTTCTCAACCATGTACAGGAAAGAACTGATAAAATAAACTCTTTTGCCTAACAAACTCAGCTTAACATCAATGCCAAAAAGACCAAGGTTATGACAATCAATGCACAAGTAGAACCTGTCACATTAAATTGAGAGCCACTAGAGGAATTCGAGGACTTTACCTACCATGGCAGCATTCTAGGTAAAGGCAATGGCACTGGTAAAGACATACAATCAGGACTTAATAAAACACGGACAGCATTCACCCAACTTAAGTTTATCTGGAAGTCAAACAACAACTATGAGAACCGAACTCCAACTTAACAACAGTAATGTTAAATCATTTCTCCTCTATGGATCTGAATACTGGCGTGCTGTTGACAGTGACATGAGAATAGTTGAGGAATTAAACAACTGACTTATAACTTCTGGCCGAACAAGATCTCTAACAGGGACCTGCACAAGAAAAGCAAAAGCAGGAGCATAACAACTGAAATCAAGCAAAGAAGATGAAGAGGGTTGGGGCATGTGATGAGAATGCACCAGAGTACAAAAAGCCCTAGGTTGGACGCCATCTGAAAAGAGGAAGCGATGTAGACCACGAACAATATGGAGAAGAACCATAACATTAGAACTAGAGGAAATTGGCTACTTATGGGGACAGTACGTGGCGAAGGACAAAGGAAGATTCCATAGCTTGTTGATGCCTAATGTCCCGTAGGAGACAAGGAGGAAAAGGAGGTCCCCTGCTCAAATGCGTTAGTTTGGCTGTGCCCACCCCCAGAAATATGCTTCCGATGAGCATGACTCCTACATTCATGGCTTAGGGAGAATTCAATGTAAACTTTGCATAGGAGGAAGATTGGTAATAGAAAATGTACAATAATGGCACAGTAAAGAAAATGTATCAGCGATGTGTGTCATTTGCAATGGAAGTGTATTCAAAACAAAATTCTCTTCTTCTTACATTTTCAATTTGAATTTTATAAATCATTGGGGAAGCGTAATTAATATCCGGAAACTCATTATGCTTTTTTTAATATATCTTAAGGGGGAATGCCACATCAACTTTTTATTTTATAGAGAAGCAGTTCATTTGACCTTTTATAAATAAGTAATTTAATACATAAATAAATATCTAGTGGAAAATGCAAATAAAGCAACTTTAAAATAAAATTTATAATAAATAAAGTTATTCAAATTTTTAAGTACATTGTATCATAATCTTAATGGAAATAATTTTACGAGGAACCAATTAAAAATTATCTCTTTTTCCCCTTGTGCACATTCAAACACAACCACATATAGAATGGTTTATTTTGCGACCCATAATATTTAAACAATATCTTCCTTGTTTTTCTTTTTCATTTTATTTGTGGTTACACGATTTTATCATTTTCCTTCCGTTTAGCAAGGTTTCAGCTCCTACTCTAAATGTGTACAACTTGTGTCATACAAAGTAAGTAAAATTTGTTTCTCAAGTGAACTTTTATTTTCTCTGTTCAGTGTTTTAATTTCCCGCCGTCTGG